GATCTGTCCATACGGGGAGGCTTTTGATGAGAGGTGCAAGGCAATCACAAGCCCATTTCAAAGCTAGACTCACTGTTCTCACACGGACGCCCTCTCATGCTTCTTCGCCCAAACTCCTGAAAACTTTCTCTTTTCTCGTCTTGATTGAGAAGAAGATGTTCCATTTTGGTTCCAAATTGAAATCACGCGGATGGAGGTAAATGGCATTTGGAGGTTAAAGTGTTTTTCTTTGGCCTTCTTAATATGGAGAATGAGATAGAAGCATATTAGATTGAGTTAGCGGGGAGGTGAGTGGCGCCTCGCATCTGGCTGCACACAGGACCTCCTTGTTGGAGAGATAATTTGTAGCTTTAAACAGGCTAAATCAAGGTCTTTGGATTGATGAGTTAATGTGTGCATGCTTGAGAGCACATGGAGCGACCTGGGAGCACATGCACATATTTTGCTCTCAAAGTTGCCTTTATCATCGCTCTCGTTCCTCCTGCTCCTCTTCCGTCCTTTCTTCTCCTCCTCCTCCCCTCCTCCTGTCTTTGTTAATGTCCTCAATTCTTTCTCCTCTCCTCCTGTCTTCCCTACTCTCCTCTCCTCTCCACTGCTCTCTTTGGCAGTGTGTTTGGCCTGTGACGGCCCAGAGGCAGCCATGCTGTCTTCTCCACTCAGTCTGCTGTTTCCCTTCTCCCATGCCCTGACCCTGCTATACTCAGCACACACACACACTCTCTCCCTCCATCTCTGTCTCCCTCTCTCCTTTATTCTTTTTCTGTCTATCCCTGGCTCTCTTCATCATTCCTGTCTTCATCCTCTCCCTTATGCCCTCCTCCTCCTGTTCTACTCTGACCCCTATCTGCTATCCAGCCAAGTGCAATGTCCGTCAAAGACATAGTGTAGACACACACACTAAAAAAATGCATGCAGGCACATCATCTCTGCTTTATTTCCTCTTCTCTCTCGCTTTCTTTTTTTATTCTTTTTTTTCTTCTTCATCCCTCCGTCCCTTCCCTCAGCTTTCTTTTTGAGCTGAATCTGCCGGACGAAAGCAAACGGTCTCCGAGGTTTAAGTCTGTGTATTTCCAAAAATTAGACAGTTGGTGCTGCAGATTAAATGCAGACTGGGAGGTGAACTCGCTGACATGCTAGAATAAAAACACACAGTACAGTAGTACGACACAGACAAACACAATAAACTGTAATCGCCTAGAAACGGCCACACAACAACAGAGTGCATATGCCCCGAAGCAATGACAGTCAAACTCTCCGTTTTCTCCCCCCCCTCCTACCACTGCAACATCTTAGCAAGTGCTAAAGACACCGCATCAAATTGCTACTGTAACCCAGCAGTGGAGGTTCTTTGAAATATCCAGAGTGTAAGCTAGTCAGCTGATAGGGCGGCTGACTAAAGCCAGCTAAGAAAAGCCACAGCTCAACCAGTGCAGCCACTGGCCCACTTTCAGCCTGCTTTCTTGCATAAATGAAGAAAGTCTCCTCTATAGACTCCTTAAAATCTCTAAATGCACACAGTATGAGGCGCTAATATCTCAGAGCGCTGCTGTACGCTGGCATCTCAGTGGGTAATCATCACTTCGGCAGCACACGACTTTTGTCCATATGGAATTACATCTCAGCAAAAGCCGGTGCTTTTCCGTTTGGCCCGTCGCCCCTCTAACTCATACGTCAATCACTCCCCGGTTCACCATCGCCACCCCTCCCCTCCATCTTTCACGAGCCTTTTTTTGAGCAAATGTAAAAGAGGCCTAATGGCGTGAGCTATTATGAGCAGACCAGCCTCCGCTTGGCTGAAAGCTCTTGTCTTCCAGCGTTGGAGAGAGCTGGCCCTGCCTGTGGCACCCACACTATGCCACTGTTCTCTCGCTCTGGATCCCCAAATAACAAGGCCTGAGCCCTGGGGACATAACCTGGGATGGAGAGGCCTTCTTGTTTGGCTCTCAGTGTTGCAGCAAGGCTTTTCAAACGTGGCAGAGTGACCCACTTGTATTGTGTTATGCTGTGGTTGGTAGTGTGGGCTCGCGGGATATTTGCGAATATGTAACAAAAGTCTGCTGCTGTGCTGTATGCGCTTTAAGGGCTTTTCTTTGAAGATATTTTCTACGTCCTGATTTCTGAATTGGGTCTCGAAAGAGCCTATGGATATGTATGGAAGCAACATTGCGTGTTTTCTTCACTGAAACCACATGAAACAATTAGAATTATTATTATTTTTTGAGCCACATTGTCTTGTTTGCTTTTATTGTGCATCCTTCGATTTGAAGTAAGTTTGAATGCAGTTTATAATGAAAGGGGATGATTAATGCTTTGTTCTCTTCTTGCTGAAATAAATGAACAAATCACAATCTGATTTTAACGAGATATGAGAATGAATGTAGCATTGCCTCAGCCAGCAGGTGAAAGTCCTTGTCTGGAGCGGCTCGAGCACAGTTATTTGTGCAAAGCTAAAAAAGGACAGATGGATTTAAGTGGTTTCAAAGTATTCATGTTGATGGCCCAACCTCAGGAGGAGGTGACACTTTTGAAGAGAGAAAGAAAGCGTCTTCTTTTCTTTTTCTTTTTTTTGCTTTGATATAGCAGCCCAATTCATTAGCTCAGTGGGAAATGTCTTCATTTCTAGCAAGCCTGCGGATTCAATGGACCATGGCTAGGAAATCAGCCTCCTTTCAGTGTGCACAACACAGAGTGTCGGCAAACTACCTCAGCATCTCGCTGTGCAGGGGCAGCTGAGATGTGGTGCTGGAGGTTGGCTTGCTTACCCACGAGAGCAGGAGGAAAGCAAGAGGTCCTCCCTGCTGCTTTTTTTTTTTTTTTTTCCCTTCCTTGCTAGTTTGTCTGAATGTAACTGGGGTGAGGAGCCAATTGGATGAGCATTCAGGAGCAGGGCACGGAGGCCTCAGGAGAGCCGCTGTGCATTGTGGGTAGCCTGATGGCTCAATCGTAGGTGTAAATGAGCAAGACAATCAGTACCTGGTATCCGCTTGTCTCTTTGATGGCTGTGTTTGTCAAGCTGAGGCAGGGAAAAGAGAGGGAGAGACATGCCATGATCCAAAGCCACAGTTACCATTTTCATCCCATCAGCTGGCATGCTAGCTGTGACTGCGGTTACATCTCTCCATTTTCTTGTTTTTCCTTCTCATTCATGTAGCGTTTTCCCCTCCCTTTTTCTTTTACAATTCATTAAACAGAAATAGTTGTTTTGGGCTCACTAATGGCAAAAAGTTATTTGATTTTTCTATCGAGTGGCAGTTGCTCCCCGAGGCATCGGCTATATATCGACCGGCAATCATTAGTTGATGCTCTACAAAGGTAATTTTTGACATGGAAATGGATTCCAATAGGTATTTAGCAGAAATAAGATTTCCAACAGCATAGGAATGGCACTCTTGCAGTGATATCGATGTTTTGCTGAAAAGGCATTCATAGCGAAAGAAGTGATTCATTTGTTGATTAGAAACCGAATCAGCAGCACTTTAGAGGACTCTCATCCTGTTTTTTTTTCCTATCTCCTCTTTCTTCGCTGTCCTTGTCTCGGTTGCATTGTGTCCTCAGTCATGTGTCTGCTCCGCATAACACTTTTTTTGGTGCTGTTGTCAAACGTGTCTTTTAGTTACAGTTTCAATGCTGCTCAAGGTTTCTCATACAGTACATATATTACTGCATAAGTGCGAGACGTCAAGAGTGATTTCTGTTCTATTTTTTTCTTTTACAGGAGAAAAAGAGCATTAAAAGTAAGCCATGGTCAAACTCTTTTTTTTTTTTTTTTTTTGTTATTACTATGGGCAAAGGCATGCTTGGCTTGGTTTGCACTCACCCTCCTCGCTTTTGCTTGATTTTGGTTTTCCATACTTTGCATCAGGTCATGAATAAATTACATCTAACATAGCATCTATATATATTTATATATATAACACTGGCACTTGTATTAACTCTGGCACTGTGTAATGTCCAAGCATTCGGGCTGTGGAGCAGAATCCTTCCCTCCTTACAGTTTTTGGTCCTATATCGAACCAATTCATCAGCTTTGGTTTTGTATTTGGGTTAATTATCTTTCACATATTGCACTGTCTGACAGCAGCCATCGACAGTAGGGTATCCGTCTAACCTGTTGTCCTGATGTAGCATTGTAAGCACATAATTTGCTTTCTACAATAATACAGTAGACGTAGATAATCTGAGGCCAGCGCCGAGCTAGGTAATTGGTTAAGACCCCTATTAGTGGATTTAAGAGGATATCAGAGCGCTTGAGCCACGCAAAGCTATTAAGCTACTTAGATAAGAATGTGATTGCCGTCTGTCAATCACCAAAATAAGAAAACAGGGTGTTGTTGGTGCTCCCATCTCACAAACATACACACACACACACACCAGGCCAAATTGTGCATCTTAAATTTTAGATGAGGGCAAACTGAAAAACACAAACTGACCTCTTCCCCTCTCTTTCCATCGCTGGCCTCCTCCCTCCCCTTCCTTTGCCTCCCCCTCTCAGCACAAACGCGTTTTGAAGCATGACATTATTTCAACTCTGATTCACGCCACTGTTTTTTAGTTTGAGGCTGTTGTCGTAGCCAGTGGAGTCTTCTTTTCATTGTTGTTTTTTGTTGCCGTTTCTGTCATGTGGTATGGGTTCTGCATGAAAACAAATGCAATTTTATGCGTAAAAGCTTTGATATATTCACTAGTGATGGAAAAAAAAAAAATCTGAACTCTGCTAGCTGTGGAAATAGGTGCCTGGTAACCATCGTGACCAGTTTTTATTGTTTTCTACCTTCTCCATTAACATTGAGATGCGGTGATGACCTCTTTAGGGAGAAAATACAGATTCACGCATCTGATGAAGGAATTCATATTAGCCAAATCATGTGACACATACCACAACAAACACTTAGTGGCAGGAGAGTTTATCATTATCATTGTCAGTTTATCATTAAATATCCCACTTTAGTAAGACAAACAGTATGACTTACATTGGCTTTTCTCTTTTCTGCTTCCTCTAGACTCTCGGCCCTTGCCTGACGTAGCCATGACTGGCAAGTGCACCCGGGAATGTGACGAGTACGGCCACTCGGACTCCTGCTGGATGCCTGTGCGCACGTCGCCCGAGCGACGGCCATCCAAGTCAACCACCACCCCTCAACAACCAAAGCTTTCCACTTTCATGAGCGGCAACGGCAGCGGCAGCAGCAGCGCCGAGCAGCCCGGCAGCCAAGAGACCCTCGCCATGGCCGCCATGGCCAACGGAGACCCCACCGCTGCTCACATGATGGGCGACCGCAATCGCAACTTGCTCAACAAGAAGATGGCCTCCTCCTCCTCCTCCTACGAAGCCTTCGGCTCGCCTTCCTACGGCTCGCCAGGAGGCGGGGAGGAGGCGCTGGGCCACCCCACTGAGGAGATCCCCCTTGCACCCACTGGGGAGTACAAGCCCACATCCTGTGGTACTCTGACACGACGGGAGGTGTACCTGTGAGCTGGGAGGGTTACACGCACATGATATGCCACAAAAAGTGGCATTCAAATACAACACTAAGCATAGCTGCTTACCCACCACCGTTACAGCTCTAGAAGCTTTTTAGCCAGCCTTGTTCTGCGCAAGGTAGGACTAAACTTTCTCCAAAGACTTTGACGACAGCTCCTTAATGAAAATTCTAAGTGGATATTATAAACATAGTACCATTTTTAAAGTGCTAATTCCGGCCATGACCTGGAAGAAAGGAGGAGGAGGAAGAACTATTGAGGGCGCTGATTGGACTTTCAGTGAGGCTGTTCTACTGGCGAGTCGGGCTCTTGGGACACAGTCTGCTGCCTGACAGTCAATCTGTACAGTAATCAACTCATTTTACATATACAGTACATGCATGCATTCCCCCCTGTTCTCATTCAAGGCCCCATTCCCAAAAGATGACACTGTACAAAGAGACCATTTCTTTCTCGGGTTGTTTTTTTTCTAGAAACAAAGCTGTACATGTAGACTATTTTGACTTTGAAGTGTGTCTGGATATGCCTTTCTTTTTTTATTTCCGAAACAGTCCGGCCACGATGTTTTGTGGCCGGAGAAATGTACTGGACAAAATGGTCCCATGGTATCATACTGACCATGGCTTCTGTCATCTCTACTGTTTGCGATTAAAGTTGCAGAACAATAGTTGAGCGTATTCAAATCTTACAAGGACGGGAAAGACTAAGCTTTAAATACTCAGTCCTCTCTTGATATGGAGATTCTTGGATGGAAGTGGGAGCCAATGGAATTTGCTGCAACAACACCTTTGGTTAGACTACAACCGCATTGGTAGACCACGATGAACTTCACCATGACTGATTCTAATCTACCGGTGCGCACACTCTTCACAGGTGTCACTCATTGTACATAAACATCGGACCATAGCAACAGTGCTAACTGCTCTCATTCCCTTCTGTCTCGCTCCCTTTCCTCAGTCTCTCGTTCTTTGTCTTTGATTGGCGAGATTGAGACCAAAACCCTCCTAAGAAATGCAAGATCTTAGAACCATGACGTATAATCGCATTGGCTGGAAAAGCATGTGAGTCCTCGGTTGTACATTTTCGGATCGCCCCGGTGGGATGCTACTGTTTATACCAAGTTGTAATACGTGCCCTGTCTTTCCCAAACACACACGCACACATGCAAAAGCAGAATCATTAAACCGAGACCAGTGGTGCTGCTATACTAACTGAACATCCTGGGTGTCGCAATGTGTGGCATGAGAATAAAAGTATCGAGGTGCAATTGAAATTGTATGTGTATGGGCCAGATATGCAGTATATGGTATGTTTGTATAGGCCACTGTAGATGTACACCAATAATAGGATTAGGAGGGCGTAAACATTGCCAAGTTGGTCCTAAAACAGCTGCAAGGACAGCTTTTTACTGTTATTTTTTTTGTTGTTGCGTGATAGGACTGAGCAATAAATATCATAATGTACATGTGACCAACAAGCATCAACTTCTTTTCCACTTCTTCTCAAGCCTTCAAGGTGACATTAACCCACATGTGGCTGTCAAAGAGTCCTTTTTTTAGCACTAGTAGATGTTGCTTTCCATAGTACATGGTGATGACATCTTTGAGCATGAATGTAAGAATCTGCTCAACGGAGAACAATCAAAAAGCAACGTCTGAACGAGCAGATACCCGGACGTTCTGGGATTTACAAGCAGAGAAAATTGGTGTCAAAGTGAAACCAAAGCTTCGCAAACAGGATGAAGCAGTCCCCCTTTCACACACACAAAAAAAATAGCTTTCCGGGAGAACTTTGCTTTAAGTACACATTACAGGAAGATGTTTTAATGAAGGATTGAGCTTGAACGATAAGAATGTGATGTCTCAACAAAACATCCATTACATCCTCAGAGCCGACGCTTTACGACCACTAACACACAGACACATAATAATGTTGAGATGTTGTGCCTCCCTGTCTACAGTGAATTTTTTTCCTGTTTTTTTTTTTTTTTCTTTTGCAGCTACAGAGGCGCAAAATCTCATGACTGTAATAAAGCAAAAGAATATCAGATGCAATGGAACTTTTTGTATGTTAGCAAAACCCCTTTGGTTTGACCGGAGCTGCTTTTTTCTGCATTCCGGCAATCTATAGTCTGTAAGTACTACTCGTTGTTTGAAAGAAAGTGCTCCTATACTTATCAACTGTATACATAAATATTTACTTTTTACTGCACGTTTAATGGGAACTTAACTTCACTTACTGAGAAGGAAGACGAAAAAAAACTGTAAAACAAAATGTACAAAAAAAATGTTACCCTGTAAACATGGAAATCCATCTTGTTGCTTGCTTTTGTTATACTTAAAAAGACATTAGCCATGTAGTACAACTTAGTACATCAATTAAGACCATACTGTTAATTTTTTTCATATATTTTTTTCACACTAAATTTCTTTATTGTCTCTTATATCACGACATAAACCCAAATCTTTCATGTTTCTTTTACTTTATACCACAAAATCAAGACTTTTTTTTTTTTTTTTTTTAAATCTTCATCTTGTATTTTACTTTGTAATCTCATACCTTGATTAGTTACACAGTAACAGTCAAAAACCGTGGAAAATGATCATGACAATGTACTATGTGTTTTACTTTTTTTCTTTATCTGGTGCCACTTTGTATATTTAGAGTGCTTCTGAAAAAAGAAACAAAAAAAACTTACAAAAAAAAAAAATACTAGAGTGAATGCAAATATGCAATTGTGCCTTTTTATACCAATTGGTATGATTAAATGTTGGTTTGGAATGGTGCATAAACAATTCTGTTGACATGCTTACAAAAGTAGATGGGGTGGCATTTAAGGACTGAAATACATTTGCATATCTTAGATGAAATCCCATGATGTCAAAAGGCTTTTTTCTTTGGAGGACGACCAGTCAAATGTCAGTGAGCCTGTAGGTCTAATGCTCAAAATGGCTATTGTTCATTGGGTTCAATTATCTTGTTGAAATATCCATTCCTAGCTTAGTGCATAACCGAATGAGTACAGGTACATTCAAAAGTTGCTTGTTGGTAGAAATAATAATGATATAATGGATTTTTTTGTCGTGTTCCACTCATGTACATGTGTGACATCAGAGGTCAAGTAACCTTCTTTGTGCATGAAACAAGCTCTAGGACTGAATATAGAAGCTTAGAAAGATAGAGAGGGTTGGGAAAAAAGAAGAAAAAAAATGCTTGGAGACATTTGACTGCTCAGAGTTGAGGGAGCCTAGAGATAAAAATGCTAATGTGATGGTTTACTAGGAGGAGCGAAAGTTGGGAGACGGGGGGCGGGAGGGGGAGAAAAAAAAAAAGCTGCAAGGGAGAGTAGCTGACAGAACACACACCTCAGGATGTGCTGTGCAACACAACACTCATACACACAGATTTACAGTATATGCATATCAGCGGATGATGAAACCCTGTCGTACAAATAAGCGCGGTGCAGGGTTTGCTGTGATGTTGCAAGGTGATGCTTTGAATTTCTAGATCAGATAAAGCGAAAACAAAGACTCCGTGGAGCGAACCTCTGACAAAAAAAAAAAAAAAAAGACGAAATGAAAGAGAAATTGCCATACGCTGGCAAATACACTGAGTGCAATCTATACTACATCATTTCGGAGTAGTGATACAAACAGTAGCTTGTTTTTTTTTTTTTTTCTTTCTGATATAACGGCTACAGAAATCTGGATGATAGCTGGTGGTATTACGTTGGAATTCTCTTCTTAACATTTGACAGAAAAACATGAGATACTTAACACGTCCCATCAAAAATGTCTGTATCTTGTTGATGCCTGAGGTATGTGCTCAGTTTGTGCTCTCCTCTATTCGTATAGCATTCACAGTGTGTAATGAGATTTGTAATATTAACCATTACTATTTGTCCTGCGACTTGGATGTTGATATAGAAATTGAGGAACAAATTTATCATCGTTTAATATGAGTCACTATGCACGCAGCTTAGCTGAACATGGCAAAGTGTATTGAACGCAAGTCCACTTCTATTTATGAGATATTTTACATAATTTAATTTGCTTTTGTACAGGTTTGTGTAAATAAATTGCTTGTCATTTTTGTCTCTGCAGAAATTAAAATATAACATGGTAAAACAACGAGTGTCTCTCCAGTCCATTTGGTTTCATTGTGTTTATGTGCATCTTTGCTTCTTGAAGGAAAAAGACATTTAAGTGCATTTAATTGCTCAAACAGCAGCACCATCATACTATAATGCTCTTATTAAAACCTTAATGTAAACAGCTCTAATTCTTAGCTTTTGTTTTTAAAAAGCTGCTGTAAATGACCACTCATTTTACTGAGCATTAACTGGACATTTCCTATATTAAAAGTGCTCATTATGTCAGCACTGTATAGATACATGCAGCATTAATCAGCTCATGTTAACCAAACCAAGATTAAATACGCTAATTATTTTCTAGTATCCACATTCTCCATATTACTATCATCTAAAGTTTCATTAACTGTTTTTTGGCTACTTGTGGGCAAACAAATCACCACCTTGTCGGGTAGTTGTGGCTAATGTGTTAGCAAACAGTTGCCTGTTTACACATAGCAAACACGCAGCAACACTGGCATTCATTTGAAGTCACGTTTCCGTCCACCTGTTGGATTCAAGTCCAATATTCACTCCGTTTTAACCTCTGCTTTGGTTTCCACTGCCTCTCTCACAATTTGGGAAAAACGTGGGACATTTTCGCTTCTAAATGCTTCATTATATTCCAAAGACAGCCTCTAGGCAGGTGGTGTGTCGTGGATTCACCAGAGCTTTTTGCTAGCTGCCAGCTGTGGCTTTAAAACAAGGTGGATCTGAATGGAATTTGCAGGCAGGTCAACCAAAACATTGACCTGAATGACATTTACAAGCTCTATGTGCAATTGTGAACAAAAGATTGAACAAACTTGGAAAGATCATGGCAATCTTGAGGTTCCAATAATTTCTGTAGCTTACTTTTCAAT